CCTGTTTCCCTGGCTAGGTGCCCACCGATAGCGCTGCCCTCTGACACAGGACCCCGGCCACAGGGACCTTTCCACCTTGCCAGGAAGGGCAAGGAGACTGCCAGGCCACTGTTCCTCAGACCTGCCCCAAAAGGTAGGCCTGGGGCAAATGGTGTAAATTGAAGCCTCTAAGAGGCAGAGAGTCGCTTTCCCACTGTGTGTGACATCATTAACAACCCTGCAAGGCTGAAGGAAGGTTTCAATCCAGGCTGTTTCAATTTCGGATTCTTTCAGAGCCTATTCTCTGGTGACTGACTCTGCCAGAAGGCAAGTCTTAATGCTCGTCTTCCTCTTTTCTTTCCCAGGATTAAGTATGCCCCTTCTACTTCCCTGGAACACAGGGCACCTGCCAGAGCAGGGAGCTGCCAGGAACCTCCGGGCTGCTCAGTGCCGGCTGCTCGGTGGACAGGCTACTCATGAGGTGATGGCACCAAAGAAAGAGCATTGCAGGGGAATGCACATGTGACATTCAGAGCCAGCATTGAAATTGTCATCACGAGAAGAAACCCCGTAATGGTGTTGCACTTCCTTACATTTGTTTTACGACTCAGCCTGTGTTTGTTTTGCATGACATCTGTGCATCAAGGCGCGACTCTCAGATAGAGACGCAGCCCTGTGCGAGCACTGCCCCTGGAGCTGTGGTGCAGCAGCGCTCGGAGAAGGAAACACGAGTGCAGCTCTGGGGCCAGTGCCCCCGTGGGGTTCAGCTTGGCCCTGGGTCTTTGTACACGGGGGCAGTGGAAATCAGGGCATTGCCAGCGACTGTAGGGCACCCTGACTCCTAGGAGGTCAAAGGAAATAGATCTAAAATCCAAGGTGTCTGCTTGCAAAGAACCCTCCTGCGAAGGGGAGCCGGTGGAGGAGAAGGGCCCAGGACAGCCATCTGCTTGGGGTGTTCACAGGGGAGAGGCTGACGGGGAGAGGCCCGGCTCACACGGCTAACTGCAGGCAGAAGGAGGAGAAAAGTAACACGATGAGCACGCTTCTCTCCTTCCCTCGATTAGGATGCCAGGAGCGGGCCGTCTGCTGTTTGTGCAGAAAGGCCACCAGGAAGGAGGGAAGAGAGCATCTGTTCCGAGAAACTGCTGTTAAAAATGCAAGCAGTACGCAGAGCAAAGGCGGAGGTCTCTGCCGTGCAGGCCCCGGCTCAGAGAACGGGAGAACCCGAGCGGCCCGGCTGCGAAAGCATCCCGTTGCCAGGAGCCGGCATGGGGGTCTGCCATCCCTGGAGGCCGCTTGTCTTTCCTCCAGAGCTGTGGCTCTCAGGGTCCCCGGCTCTGACGCTGACGAAGGAACATCCCCTGTAAGGGGAGAGGCACCACCCCACCCCACCTCTGCGGCTAACCATCCTCTCTCTCCCTGACCAGACTGCCCAGTTTCAGCACGGGTGACAGTGCCCCCCTCAACACCTGCTCCTCCGTGCTCTGCCCAAGGGGTGATGGTAACTATTTTTGACGCAAAATAAGGCGAGCCAGGATCTCCAATGGGATGAGGTCACTCTGAACCCCCAAGTTTGAAAGGCCTACATTCATCTAGAAGATTCAGGGACCCCATTTGAAGGTGCCAGCAAAAGGCCTGCCTGCTGGACTGAACTGAGGCCCTGAGAGACACGGCCTCTAAACACTCCCTCTCTTGGGGGAAGCAGTCAGCGACATGCAAGGTCCCCTCCTCAGGCCCCTCTGGCCACCTTTGCTGTCCACCCCGCCCCCAAGAGGCTGTTGGTCAGAGGGACGTAGTGTGACCATGTCCTGCCAGCACCTTTCCCATAGCGATGGCGTGTCTATTTCACCTCGGGGACTTTGTAGCCCGCCTGGATTGTGAGCGTGTGTGGACAGCACCCGCTGTGCATTCCTCGTGGGTTAGCTTGATGCTATTCTCACAGTAGGTGCTTCATTGCTGTTTACGTTGGTGAATAATGGTCCTCAGGTCTTGCACCTCTCCCGTGAAAGTAACCCAGCTTGCAAACAAGAACAGAAAATTGAACAATCTTCTTTCCCGAGTCCCAGGAGTCTTTTTTGCCCCCTACTCTCCTGGTAGAAAGGATCATTTTCAAATCTATTTTCTCATAGTGAAATGGGAGTGATAATAGAACCTTCTTATGGGGATTCAACAGGTCAGTCATATAAAGCGCCTCAGCAGCAATGATTGCTCTTGTTATCATTACTGGATTGTTATCTCTAAGATGCAGCATGTTTTCTCTGGGAGTTCCATGAGCAAGATGGGAGCCCTCTGGCCCTCCCCTTTGAAGAGAAGAGGGCACCATGCCAATGTGGCTGACACAGAAGGAACCCGGTGGAAGTCACATATGCTGTCGGCTCCTGGCAGCCATTTCTCAGTGACGGAGCGTTTGCATTCCACCGCCCGTCTGCAGATCCGGTGGGATCTACAGACACATGGCTTTCCTTCTTCCGTCAACGCCGTGATAGCAGTACCGCCTGCAGCCCTGCTTTGGGTTGGGATGGGCACCGCCATCTGCCTTGGGCTTGCTTTTAGGCTGGGATGACTCATCCTCAGGTTCCAGGCGGGGGGATTATCAGCAATGGTAAAGGAAAGACCCAGCGATACCCGTGCTTCGTGAAGCCACAGCACCCATGGCCGGCCCTGAACTTCATCTCGTCTGCAAAGTTCAAGAGGCAGGTGGTCAGCCAGTTTGACTTTGCTTTTATGACGGCCTTGCACGAAAGACCTTTGTTGAATTACATTCTAATGTTGTGTCTTAGTCTTATAAAATCAAGGGTTAGAGCAATCAGAGTCATTTGAAGACTGTTTACCTGTCTTCTATAATATCGTCACAGAATACACTACTATTATTGCTGACCTTGAGATCCTTAGTCCTGGCCCTAGTAAGGCTATCTTACATTTGTAGTGGGTTCAGCAGGGCAAGTGCTGTGATAGGTGAATAAAGGAGGGGAGGAGCAGAAGTGATGGTGTGAGGCTGAGGCCCAGGTGTTTCAGGTGCCCGGGCTCCGTATCCCACCGCCCTTTTGGACCACACTGCCAGTGCGCTGTTTGATGTATAGTAACCCACACGATGAAGTCCTCCAGGAAGTAGGACCAGAGAAAAGCTTTCCTGGCCCGCATCCTTGCATCCAATAGTGTTTTCTCTTGGCTCCGGGCTGCAGGGAGCTCAGAAGCTAATGTGAAGATCAGTCCCGGCTTTCACAGTTTAAACTTCCCCTCTCTTTCTATTTCTTCTGATTTTCTGTCTCTTTTTTAATGGTCTGATTGTGCCTTTTCTGTGCTTTTGGGAAGTAAACAGGGAATACATCTTAAGAAAGATGACTCAGTCAGCTGTGCAGTTTCACCCGGTAGGAGAAAGGACCCCAGAAGCTTCCCTTTATTCCAGAGTTTTCATTGCTCTGCTCCTGTGGGAGAAATCTACTCAGAGTAGGGTTGCCAGATAAAATACAGGATGCCCAGTTAAGTCTAAATTTTATATAAATAATGAATAATTTTTAGTATAAATACATCCCATGTATTGCATACTAACTAAAAATTATTCATTGTTTATCTGAAATTCAAATTTAACTGGATGTCCCATATTTTATCTGCTAATCTGGCAACCCTCATTCAGAGCAACAAAGATCCTGGATATGTGACTAGCTTTTGCACCTATGCATAGAATAGCTAAGGAGAAAGGTGCAAAATTTTTTAAACAAGTTTATAACAGTGGTTAAGAACCCTGAAGATGAGCTGGGCACCTTGAAAGTCAAACTTTGAACAACTGGCCTTTGGAAACATTTAGGTTCACTGGCCGGAAGTTGGTAGTCCATGCCCGGGGGTGGTGTGCTCTCCTGAGGCTGGACCTGACCTGGGCTCGGGACCCTGGAAGACCATGTGGACCTGCCTGGGCTTTCCTGGGAGCTAGAGCAGCACTTGGCCGGATCGGCCTCTCTGCGGCGCACCGATGTCAGTTTTGGCCAGTTTTCCCAACCTTGGATTTGGAATTTTAAAGTGCAAATTTAACTCCTACCTCCACATAAAAGAAACCAAATTCTTTCTCTGCCCCAATCGAAAATGTCTGCCAGTTCTTCTGGGATCCCTGGGGGGATTTTATAGGACCCCCCAGAGTTCTCTCATGTCTCCCCTCCTGTCCCCTCATCATTCACGTTAAGGGTGCCTGCCTGCTGCAACACCATCCGTGAGTAAAGAGGGCATGGCTGCGGGCTCCCTCTGTCGCTGGGCCTCAACCCTGAAACCCCGTCGGATGACCTCATAGTCCCACACTTCCTCTGGCCTCACCGCCTGGCTGTGCCCCAGGGAGGATGCAGAGCACCATCCTTCCCGCACTCTGTCCCACTGCTGACGCGTGGGCCCAAGGCAGCTCTGCTCGGGCCTCCACAAGCCACAGGAGGACAGCAGCTCCTTCTGCATTTCCTGAAGCCCTCTCCACCAGGCGTAAAGGGCTCCTCCTGGGGGGCTGTCAGGGGCGGACAACTCCTGTCTGCTTCTGTCCCGAGAGCAGAGCTTGCAGCTTCCTCCCTCACGCCAACCAGCGTGCGCTGTGGCCTGGTGTTTCAGTTCTTCCGACAGCTTGCTAGACCTGCTTAAACCTAAGAGAAATTCCGTGCGGGCAGACCCTAGAGCTCACACTGCGGTCCTCCTGTGTGTCTGATGCGGGGACGTGGGACAGCTGCAGGGATGCTGCGCTGTGGTCCTCACCTGCTGAAACCCAGCCTCAAGGGCATCAGGCGGCTGTCAGACGCCACCTCGCCTCCCTTTGCTGCTGCTCTTTTGAGGACAAAGTCCCCAATTTTTCCAGTTTCCCTCTCCTCTACCAGCAGCCGACAGCCAAAGCTGCCGCAGGAGTGGTCCTGCGTGCAGGGCAGAGCGTCCCGCTGGGTCCGAGGCTGCGCCCCCCCACACAGACAGAGGCCCGCAGTGGCTAAAGACAGGCCTCACTGGCTGCTCCACAGGGCCCCCTTCTCCTCCCGTCCTTTCTCTCCTCTTGTGCAGGTGATGGACGGTGCGTACGCTGGCCTGGCCTTGCCCTGCAGGCGTCCCCCATGTCTTTGTTCCACGTTAAATCCTGACCTGAAGGCACTTGGGGGGAGAGCCACACGGTGCGCGTGTCTTTCCTAAGGAAGCCGCCTCTGGTTTTCTCAGTGAGGTTTATTCGAGTGAATCTGCAGCCTCAGTAACAATACATATGCCCCAACTAGGAGGTCGGAAGCCCCTTGAGGACAGGTTCCCCCAAAAGCAGATCCTGAGACAAGGATTTGGGTGATAGTAGTTCTTTAAGGAAATGATCCCAAGAAGCACGGTGAGTGAGTGAGGAAGCGAGACAGGGAGGAGAGGAGAGACAATAGGAGGGAGCATTAATGATGTTCCTGCTGTGGATTCAAGAACTGGGGCTCGGTTCTGTTGGGGAGCCATGGACTGTCTGTAAGGAGAACACCTCCCATTGTCCCACTGAAGAGCACGGAAGCTGGGCATTTATCCACTGACTCCCTTCCTCTCATGAGCCATGCACGCCGTGGTCAGAGAGCACTCTGGGGCACAGAGAGGCTGGAAGCCGTGGCCCGGATGGGACCCGTCTGCAGCGACCTCCAGGGTGGGTGGATCACGAGCGGAGCATCAGCAGCCTCTGTTGGAGGGCCTGCATCCTCTTCCTCCTGCATCCTTAGCACCTAGACAGTGCCTGGCTCTTCATAGATGCTCAATAAGCGTCAGATGGATGAGCAGATGAGTGCGTGAGGACCACATGTGCGTGAACCAGCTTTGATGGTTCAGCCAAAGGCTATTCAATTGTCAAAAACCATCTGGGACCTTTAGAAACAAACTCAAACGTCAATGACAGCAGCTAGTAGTGGGCATGTCAAGATAACCTGCTTTCAGTTTGAGGTCCTTGACCAGAGGAGGACCAGGGGAGGAAGCAGCAGGGCCATCAAATCCCTACCCAAGCAGGGGAGTCTCCCTAGAACGGGGAATCCTAAGCTGGATGCATTAGAAGATAGTATTTTCATCTCTTTTCCTGGATGTTTCTGGGCACAGGGGACTCAGAACCCCACTGGGCTGCTCATCTCTTTGTTAGGTGGCTTTCCCAGTGAGACAAGTCTTTGTACATTGAACCACAATTGTCCTCCTAATTGTTCATTGGTTTCCAACAGCTTCCAATTCTGGCTTCATCACTGTTAGCAGTGTGACCATGGTTCAATGGCTCATGGTTCTGTGCCTTATTTTCCTCACCTGTAAATGCCCATGAAAATGCTGCACAGCATTGTGTGTAAGCACTGGACTCTGATTTCCAACCACGTGGATTCAAGTTCAGGTTCCGCCATTTACTAGCTTGACTTAGTAGGGTTTCCTTAACCTCTCTGTGCCTTGGTGTCCTTATCTGCAAAACAGGTATCATAATAGCATGGGTCATTGTAAAGCACTTGGTGTGTAAGTGTTAGTTATTATTTTATCTCTTAGGGTCTTGTATTAAATGAGATCATACATGTCAAGCTTATGTAGAGCTCGGTGCCTGATATGGGTTCATTAAATACCAGTATTATTTTTTTAACTGCAACAACATTAAAATACTCTGTGAATTATTTGTTCCTCCTACCTCCTCTCTTTTCCAAGTTAAACATCCATTCCTCGTTGCATAGATAATAAAGTTTCCACCCTCATCTACGATCTGGACGGTGCAAACACAGAGTGGCCATCATCTTGCCCTCTATCCGTTGACTGTGCTACACGAAATTGCTGTGGTTCAGGAACGTGTCCTTTTCACTTTCTTCACAAGCACACACATGTCAATTATCATCAGCAAATGGCATCAAATCTAAATATTTAAAAAAGACTGGAAAATAAAACTGCACGTTACAGTTTCTTCTGTGTCTGCAGAAATATAATTTTGTCTTTTGGTGAAATAGCCTCATTTTTTGTCCAACAAATACTGCCTCCTTGGCTCAATTTCAAAACAAACAACAGAACCTTTGTTAGAAACTGACTGAGAGATTGCGTGCCAGAGTGAGGCTATGGCTGAATCGTGAGATGACGGGAGAGGAGGAAAGCGTGAATGAAAAGGAAGAAAGAGGAAGTTTGTGCCTCTGGCGAATGGTCCCGGTGCAGGAATGAGGTTTGAGGATTCAGCTTGGACAAGCTTCTCCTCTGGCTGAGTCCTGGACACTGCCATCTATCTGGCATTAGCTTTCTCTGAGTCCTAATCACCAAATGCCCTTTAGAATTCCCTTTCTCCAGGTTTTTGATCTGTTTGAGACCTTGGGCCTTGGGTTGTATTGACTGCAGCCACCATCTTGTGTTCCCACCCCCCGAGGCCTCAGGGCATCACCCTACTTTCCCTCCCATGCCTCTAGAACTCCTTCTCAAGTTCTTCCATGAGCCTGCCTTGAATCTTAACACCCTCCTCTAGTCACTCCCTCTCGGGGACATCCATGCCTTTAGCTACCAAATCTAAATCTCTAGTCCAAACTTCCCTCTTCTCTTGGAGATCGGCCCACACATTTATAACTTCTAACTGGATATTTTTATCTAGATTTCCTGCTGGCCCCAAAACTCAAAATGTCCAACATGAAATTCTTTATCTCTTCACACTGCCAACTTCTTCCTCATGCTGCATTTCCTATTTTGGATAATGACACAACTATCTGAGCCTGAAAGTTAGGAGTTGTTCCATGTTCCTTTTTCCCCACCAGTGAGATCCCACTGATGGGATTTATTACAAATCTCTTACATCCATCTCGTCTTGTCCATATCCCCTATCATTGCCATTATTTAGACACTTGCCCACCTGGACCATTCAACAGCCTCCAAAAGATCTCCCTGCTGCCATCACCTCTCCACCTCTTCCCCTCTGGCTCCACCCTCCATGCAGCCATCGGAGTCATCTTAAATTGCAGACGTCAACATCTGCTTTGACTTGGTGTTTGCAGCTCTCCATCAACTGGACCCTCTTTCCCTTTCCAGCTATTTGTTAATATCTAAGGATTAATATCTTCCCCATTGAAATCAACCAATTAAAAATATTTCTTGAACACCTTCTGCATACTTAAGACTGTGTGAGGTCTTGTGGAGGACATAGAAGAAATCCAACTTCAAAGGGCTTTCAAAGCTAACACATGAAAAGAATTGTTGGATAATTAAGTGCTGGCTGGTGTGGTATAGACTAAAAAGCAATAGGAAGTACATTTCCCGTTGTACATAAAAATACACAAATATGTGTCTGCATATAAATCATGCCTATGTAATCCCCTGGTAAAATGTGTATAAGACGAATTTGCCTTAGTAATGCCGGACGTTTACACCATGAAGAGGAAGGAGTTTACGTTCTCAGCGACAAGCCTACGTTAGTTTGAGTGCTTACTTCACAAAAGTACTTATTTTATTGCATACGTATCCTACTCTCATTTCAGTATGAAGGACAATGGTCTGAGTAATTGAAACCAAAAGTGGGCCATTGCTTACCCTTCTTAGAGGTATATAAATCAGACAGAGTCAACATCAGGTCAAGCAGGCAAGGTCGGGAAGAAATAGCACCCATACTGTGCTGTGGAGCAGGTGTTCGTTCCTCCCAAAGGCGTGTGGTGCCTACTCCCCACTGTAAGTGTATCTGGAGGTGGGCTAATTAGGTCATTAGGGTGGAGCCCACATGAATGGGATTAGCGCCCTTGTAAGAAGAGGCAGGAGAGAGCTCATCTCTCTCAGCCACGTAAGGACACAGGAGAAGATAACTGATCTATAGGCTAGGAGGCAGGCCCTCAACAGACGCCAGATCTGCTGGCATCTTGATCTTGGACTTCTCAAGTCTCCAGAACTGTGAGAAATAAATGTTTGCTGTTTAAGCCACTCAGTCTATGGTATGTTTGTTACAGCAGCCCGAAGTGACTAAGACAAACTCTTTATCATAACAACCTAAATCAGTGCATGGCCCGGCTTTAAGATACAGACACCCAGCTGAAAGCAGAGGTCCTCTCAAACAGGTGGGCCCGCTCTGCAATCTCATTCAGGTCCAGCTCTTCCATCATGAGGCCTGGCAGCCTGGCCCATTGGATGCTCCTGTCCTGTCAAATCTCCATGCAGAATTCCACAGGGAGGCCATGAGCACTCAGTTTTTATTCCTCAAAAGGAGATGGATTCGGCTTTGCAGAAAGGAAACCAATTTAGATGAAATAAGGTGCCTATTACCCTCCTGTGAAAACTGCTCTTAGGTAAGGCGTCAGAAGTCCCCGGAAGAGATATCCTCTCTCCTTGTTCTTGCTCATTAACTTGCGTGGGCTTGAAACAAAGGAAATTGTCAAGAAAGTGTTGAAGTCATGCTGGAGGGTTTCCTGGAGTGGCCTGACCTTTAGCCGAGGGGCCAGGAGGCTTGAGCCCTCGTCCTGGCTCTGCCGTCACCAGTCGTGTGTGCCTGGAGAGCTCCTTAACTCTGGAGTCTCAGGTTCCCTATGCCTCGTAAAGTCTTGCTGGTGATAAACACATTTTATGCGAAAACATTTCAGGAAGTTTGGGGCCCTAAAAGACGTAGTGTATCTGAGCCTCCTACCAGGAACCTTTAAAGCGCCCCTGGGCTATTTACGTCCGAGGGCCATAATCCCTCCGTGACTTTCCTCTGTGCCTGAGCTGACTGTCATCAAGTGGCACCTGCTCACTTGACCCAGTGCCAAAATTAGCTTTAAAAGGCTCTATTGTATTAGCATAGTGTTTTCAAGCTTTGAAAACACATTCATACTCACCATTTCCTTTAATCCTCACACCACCTCTTTGAAATGGGCAGAGCAAGTATGGTTCTTATTCTTATTTCAGGGACGTGGGGACTGAGGCTCAGAGGTCAGGAGCTTTTCACTTCTGTGGACTCCTCCCAACTCCCCAGCTTCTCTCTCTGCTTCGCGAAGGTTCAGTGTCAGTTTTTCAGATCCTTCCCGATCCTCTGTGCCTCCCAGATTAGAGCCTAGAAGCTTGGGTCGTTCTTGCCCACTCCCTCTAAAGACAATGTTCTCTCTTGCTCCTTTTAATCCCAGGTTTTTCCTAATTCTTCATCTAGGAGAAAAAGAAAAATCCCAGTCTTTCCACAAGCTTGCGTTGTCTGCCCACCCTGGGCCTGGCGCTCTCCCCATTCTCTTCCGCCCTCCCTTCCTTTCACTCTCCACCACTGTGAAATCATTGATTTAGCAGCCAGTGCTCCTTGGGTTCCTACCTTCTGCAGGGCACCATTTCGATGTCTAGTGGTGAAGGCAGCAGGTGCGTGCATGCGGGGGCAGCTCGTCGCATTTGTAAGTGGTTCGTCTGCTTTATGATGGCCCGTGTCCCCCCCCCCAACCTGTATTTCCAGTCTTGGGCGGTAAATTACATGAGGCCAGGTCCTGGTATTTTGAGCTCACTCCTAGTTGGTATATGGGGAGAGGTAACTCAACAGGGTTTTTTTTTTTAATCTTCCTCAGTGATTGACACGGATGTAAAAATGAGAACTGGGAGAAACACGAAACAAAACAAAAGATCTCAAAAGAAACAGCTGAAGAAATGGTGGAAAAACAAGATCACTTAAATTATTGAGTGGTAGCTGTTCTTTGGTCCTTATTTGTAAGACTATAGAGATTCCTCTGCACTCAGCTGCTGGCTTAACGGAAATTTTCTACTGAGAACCAGCTACGTTTACAAGTGCTCGTTTGTGCGTCTGCTGCATGAAGCTTACAGCGAAGTAGAAGTTAAGACCTTCCTGAGTCACTGGTGGGTAACAGTGATTTTGAAAGCTACAGAAAGCTGTGCCTTGTCATTTTCATAAAGCATTCCGCAGGGTAGTATTCACTCTAAAATATTAAGCTTATTAAGAATTTTTGGATCTGTGATTAACTTTCACAGCAAAAGCCATGTTGAGTAAATTAGGTACCAAATAAATCCGAAAAGATCGTGGAAAGTCATCAGCTAAATTAAGACCTGACAGCTCACACAAGATGAGAAGCAACGGGAATTAAGAAAAATAATTACCTTTGCTGCTGAGAAGACAGGTTTGACCCCGAGTGAAGCAACTCCCAAGGCATGTGTTTTTGAACAGACAAACCTGCTGTTCTGCTCTGCTGTGAATGGGGGAGGGGCAAGGATCCTTCCTTTCTTCCAATATTCCCCGCACACTCTAACGGAGAGAGCAGTGTCTGCGGAATGATCTTTGAGGCAGAAGGACAGCTTTGCAGAGTTACCCCCCATCTCTTAGCGCCCGGGGTGGGGGAGGGGCAGACTTACAACTCCCTTCTCTCTACTTTCCTCTATTGAAGAGGCCAGAAGACTAGAAAGGTCACCTTTTTTAGCCTCCTTCGCAGGTAGGAATGGCCATGTGATCCAGTCTGGCCACTGGGATGTGAGTGGGGTCTCTGGGTACAGTTCTGGGAAAGCTTTGGAAAAGGGACAGAGCAACTGGCATGGTCATCCTGCCGTTTGCTCCCTTGCCCTCCTCCTTCTTTGTGCTTGGAAGGTGGCGGGGAAGCCGGCGTGGAGGGGCAGCAGCCAAGTTTGAAGGGTGGCAGAACAGGAGGCCAAAACGAGCTGGTGTCTACTCTCGGGCGCCTTCCCACTTGAGAGAAGAATTCCTATTTGTTTAAGCCATTTTCAGCAGGGGTTTGTTGTTCGAAGTCAAATACAATGTTAGGATTTTTCGTCTCAGAGGATAATTCTTTAGCAGTGCTGTTGGGTTTAGTAGAACGAAAACAACACCACCGTTTGTATCCTCCAGGGTAAGAGTTTACATCAGGATTATTCAGACAATGACATGAGCTTTTCTGTAGAATTCAGGGCCGGTCCTGTGAGTATAGGCCGGTGTGAGCGCTGTTCTCTTTGGGCTGTTCAACCTCTCAGTCTGAGATAACTTTCCATCAATTCCAGTGGAGTTATTGAGAAAGCAGGACTCTGTCTTCCTTGCTGGCTAAGAATGACGCATCTCTGTTCACTATCTTGAGATCCAGCATTTAAACCCCTCCTGCTCTGAGGAAAGGTATAAAAATAAGGTGGGAGTTCCTGGCTCTATAACTTGCACCTGCCACACTTTGTTTCTCGCATATAATCCTGGAAAATGCAGCAAAGACAACAAAAATAAATTCAGACTTAAAAGAGAGGGAGGAAGGGAGAATGAGAGGATGATGAACCTCACCTGTGGAATACGATCTCCCGGGTCACAGTGTCTGCCGTGTTCCTCCACCTACATTTTGGATGCTTCTTGAGGACTCAAGTAAGAGGACAACAGTGGTCGACAGGGGAGGTGAACTGTAACACCTCTGCTCACTTCCTCTTTGTACGTGTCTACACGGAAGAAACACGGCTGGGTCAACTTTTCTCCCTGCCAAGGGCCTAGTTATACACATTTCAGGAGATTTTTTGTGCTAAATTATGGGGCACACTCGGGATTTGGTTATATTCCTTTTTGAGATAGGCTATGTTTCCTTTCCTCAACAAATATTTTTTGAGCACTATATTAGTTATCTATTACTACGTAACACGGTACCCCAAAACTTGGTGTCCTAAAACAAAAATAAGCACTTGTTATCTCACACGGTGTTTCAGCGTCAGGAATTCAGGAGCGATTCAGCGTGGTGATGCTGGTTGTAGCCAAGAGATCAGTGGGGCTGCAGCCATCTGAAGGCTGAGGTGCCACTTCAGGGTGACGCGCTCACCTGGCTCTCTGCAGGAGGCCTCAGTTCCTCACTGGCTGTTCACAGGACGCCTCTCTAGTCAGTGCTACTCCTTCCCAGAATGGTTCTCAGTGGCTCCAGGTCCACTCCCCAGGCTCTCAGTTCCACTCTCTGAGTCATCTTTCTTTTGTCCTGAAAGAGAACCTGTGAGTCCAGCTGCATAGTTTCTCCACTCGCTTCCTCCTGTAGAAGTTTGGGAGTCTAGAGGCCACTTTTGTTTTCCTCCCATCTCTGCCCCTTTTACTACAAGCTGGTCATATTTCTGACAAGATGGTCTGTGGATCTGACAACACTGTGGGTTTTCTGTAATCCCATTGGTGTTCAGTCCATTGGATAAAAGCCACATCCAAAAATGGCTTCCAGATAAGCCTTCCCCTCCTTGAGCTCTGGGAGACGGCCAAGGGCAACATCCTTCAATGTCTTAGAAGCTCTACTGTTGGACTGAATAGCTCTCCAAGGAGCGAACTTGGGTCTTTCTGAGATCCTAACCAAGGACTTTGCAGTCAAGTCCTCGGCGTCATCTTTAGAGCACGTCCTTCTGAGAGCACCCTCAGAAGAGTTTGCTCGAAAGGGCAAACTGGAAACTTCAAATATAGCCCTTTCTGGCTTCTTCTCGTTTCTCAGTCTTTTCTTTAATTTATTCCTCTCCTCTTATATTTTATGATACACACAGCAAGAAGAAGAGGTGGCACCTTCACCACTCTCACTGGGATTCTCCTGAGACAGACCAGCCTGTTCTCAGCAACATTGTCTACCTTCCACTCTGTTGCTAAACTTCTTGCCACTTTGTAAGAAGAATGAGCTTTCCTCCAGTTTTTGATAGCTTTTTGCTTCGTTCCCTTGAAGCCTCACCTGCAGCCTCCTCAACGGCTATCAAGCTTCCACCACCAGAACCTTCAGGGCCCCTCAGGGTTCTCTAACAGTTTCCTCTACATCCTTCCATCATCTGCTTGCTCCCCGGTTCCAAACCCACTCCCATGTCTTAGGCTGTTATTTCAGCATCACTATCGCACTTCCAGGTACCCAAATCTGAATTAGCTATCTATTGTTGTACAGCAAATTACTCAAAAACCTAACATCTTAGGATGAGAAACATGTATCATCACATACAGTTTCTGTGGGTCAGGAACTTGGTGATGGCTTAGTTGGGAGGTTCTGGCTCAGGTTCTCTCATGAAGTCAAGATGTCAGCCAGGGCTACAGTCATCAAGTGGCTGGACTGGGACAATCCGTTTCCAAGACACTCTCCTGGCTATTGACAGGAGGCCTAGTCCTAAGGCCGCTGCATGCGTTCATGACAGGCTTCTCCTAGAGTAAGCGATCCAAGAGAGAGCAAGGCAAAGTTGTAAGGTCTTTCATGACTTAGCCTCAAAAGTCACAAAGCGTAATTTCCTCAATATCCTACTGTTGGCATAGGTCAGCCCTGTTCAAAATGAGAAGAGACTGCACATGGGCGTGAAGATCAGAAAGTGAGGCTCTTTGGGCTGACCTCAGAGGCTGACCACCATGGACACTTACCAGAGCCAAGGTCCTCTCCAGGGTGCAAGTGGGGACAGAAGAAAAGGTCCCTTCCCTCAGAGAACATGTGCTCTAACTGGGGTGATGGGACACACGCACACATGAGAGAAGCATTATTCAATTATATAACCAATTGCTGGGACTGTGAGGAAACGCCCTCACTTGATGCTTTTCTGTATTTATTTCTTCTACTGGTTTGTAAGCTCCTGGCTGGGCATCACTCGTCTCTATTTCCCATGGGGCTCAGCTGGGCACCTTGCCAAAATAGATGCTTGGTAAATATTTCCTGAGTGAACAAAACCCTCCAGCAAGGTCAAGGGAAACTGGAGACTAAGAACAGACTGTTGCATCTCATGATTAAATTTTGATTATTTTAATTTTCTAGAAAAATGATTTCAACAGACTATTGGAATACAATGGAGATTACAGACGTTAAGGAGGTAGTGAGAGTGGACCAAGTAAAAGGAAGGGGAGAGGAGGGGGTCAGCTGGAGGGGAATTGGCCCAAAGCTTCTTTTCTAAGTTTAAGGGAAATCTGGGCATTTTTCTAGGCATGGGAGGAGTCAGAAGGAGGAGAAGAGAAAATGGGACTGAAGAAGGGAACATTGATAACCGATGGAGCAACGTCCCAGGAAGGGTTCACAAGCACAAATAGAGCCTAGACTTTGAAAAGGAAAGGAACCTTTCTTCCTCTGCAAAAGGATAGACAATAAAAAGACACTTTAGAAGGAAGAAAAGGGAAGTTTGATTAGGTCATGTTGAATGCCCTTGATTATTTTTCAGTGAAGTTGGGAGAAGATCATTCTATAGACCGAGGCGACCAATGGAGATGGGAGCTTGAGGACACTGGAAGGCAGAAAGAACTTGAATGGAGTGACCCCAATAGTCCCAGATGGTGGAGAGGGGCCAGCTGAGGGTCGATCTTCGGGGTCTGTAGGAGAACCAGCATGTGCGGTGGCACGCTGCCCTCTGGCTTCACTCAGCACACTGTGAGCAGAAGGACAGGAAGTGGATGGAAAACAACAGCTGCCGACACAAACGACCATGGCTGGAACTCTCAGGGGACCGGGTCCATCTGACTTCCACTCTGACTGATTGTTCCCGTTACGTGGTTTAATTCCTTTCCTCTGAAAATCACTATGAACTTTGGGCTGAAAAGAAATGGCATAATGTGTCACTTAAATGTGTGGGGTGTAATGGGGAAAATATGGACAGGGTTTTAAATCTGTTTACCAATTCTGAACATGAACAATTTAAGATTCAGTTACTGATTAGTGTTGCTGCAGACCAAATAAATGATGTCAACACCCTCTTTAAAATCCAGCCCACCGGAAGTAAACACTTAGTCTTCATGATCTTCCATAGACACGTCCTGTAATGAACTACATAACCACATTTTACGGGAAATATTTTCAAGACTTGGAACTCCTGGGTCCAGTTCCAGCTCTGCTACTATCTATGTGACCCTGGGCAAGTCACTTAATCACTCTAGGACCTTAGTCACTCATTTATAAAATAGGAAACTGGACTGGACGCTCTCTAATGCCTTCAGCTCTAATATTTCGTGGTTCCATGGTTTCCAGCCCATCCAATCCCCTGGATTCTCCTCTCTGAGTGCCACACAGTAGGACACTGGGGTCACAGTTAGATGACCACTCACAAACACATCTGTCTGAGTCCAGTAGACATGCCCCACTTCCTTCCTCCAGATGGCCCTCAGCAGCTGGACGATCACCGTCTAGTTTCTCATTAAAAAGTCCTGAAAGGGGATCACATTGTTTCCCTTTCTGCCGGCCGAGGAGTCTGGGGGAAAGTAAGAAACACAGGTTTCTCTGACTCAGAGCTTTCCCCTCTGGGTTCACACTATTTTCTTTCTGCCAAATTAGGCTAATCGTTCACTCGAGAGGTGACTCATTCTTCCTGAGCTTTCAGATTTTTCTCCCACCCATACTCCTTCTCGGTGGGTGGGGGTGCCCCCAGCCAGATCACTTTAGACAATCAGAGTTGCCTTCTTGGAAAACCAATTTTGCTAGCTCCTCACTGAACGATCCGTTTCTACCACAGCCTGCTTTCGTGGTCTATTTTGCTTTTCGTAGAAGTCGCCAGAGAGATGGTCTCGTTCTCCAGTGCCAGAAAGTCTGCAACCTTTCTTACGATGTTCCGATCTAAGCATTCCTGGGTCTAGCCTAGGTCACCCTCGCCCTGTCTTAATGCTCGATTCTCCTGGAAGATGGGAAATTAAAGT